GTGTATCGCAATAACATTTTCAGTAGTAGCTATTGCTGATTATTAAACAGGATCCTTTCTGTTAATCATTTGTTTGGGTTTTTTTTAACTGCTTATTTATATTGTGAAGACGTAATGAGGAGCTTGCATTTTTCCAAATTATACTTACATAGAAGTCTATCTGCCCATTACAAGGCTATTGGTTAAGATAGGTGTAAGTCACCACTGTCATAAAAATGTTATTCAAAGTTCCAACATGATCATAGTAACTCATACCTCATCTTGAATTTTTTTTTTTTTCTTGAGACAGAGTCTCACTCTGTTGCCCAGGCTGGAGTGCTGTGGTATGCTCTCAGCACACTGCGATCTCCACCCCTTGGGTTCAAGTGATTCTACTGCCTCAGCCTCCCGAGGAGCTGGGGTTATAGGCACCTGCCACTGCACCTGGCTAATTTTTGTATTTTTAGTAGAGACGGGGTTTCAGCATCTTGGCCAGGCTGGTCTTGAACTCCTGGCCCTGTATTCCGCCCGCCTTGGCCTCCCAGAGTGCTGGGATTACAGATGTGAGCCACCATACGCAGCCTGAATTTTTTCTTAAGTTCTGGGGTGCATGTGCATGATGTGCAGGTTTGTTACATAGGTAAACATGTGCCATGGTGGTTTGCTTTAGCTGTCAACCCTTTACCTAGGTATCAAACCCCACTTGCATTAGCCATTTACCCAAATAAAGAGCTTTCCTTTTAAAATTCTTTCAAGGATATAACAAGAATAAAACTATGAAAACTATTTAAGGATAGGATTTTACATCATATTCTCTTTCAAATACATGTACAATATCTTCATACACATGATCCCACATTGAGTTTGAGACCCAGTGTGATAGGTATGCTTGGCCTGTCCTGGTGTTTTCAGTGTCTTTTCCAATCAAAGCAGGGTAAATAAGATCAACATCAATGATAATTATTCCATTACTACTAACAATCATGCATTAAATGCCTCTCCCACAAAGATAGTAATATACGAAATTATTTCAAATTTCCTATGTTTAAATTTACTCTTGAGTATTCTTCCACTGAATTTAGCATGGATCAGCTTGTGCTGAGTACAGAAAATTGGAAAATGTTTATAGTTCAGTTCTTGGTGATGACTTTCTTGGATATATGCCGTGTCGGGTGCTAAAGATGCCCTATCCCTGAAGAAATGGAGGTGAATTTCTTTCAAGTATATATAGACCATTTTCTTGGACCCAATGTCATCTAAGCCATTCTTATTTTCTGAGCTTTCAGGGGGACATTCTTTAATTACTTTCTTATATGCTTATTTTATATTTCCGTAATGTGTAAATGTGCTTTGTGTTTTCATATTTATCTGTATATGCAGGATACCTAAAGGCAAAGATAAATAATCCAAAAAGTAGTGTTTTTTTCTTCCTCTTTATTGAACATTACTTTATATTCCCCTCATCAAGTTTCTGTGTGCCCAGATTCTTGTATTTTATTCTGTTCTCCTTTTTTTATTGTCAGTAAATAATGCTTGCAATCATCTATTATAAAGCAGAAAACTTTATATAAAAGAATGCCTCTTCCCCTTTTTCAAACAAATATAGCACATAAAGGTAAAACATCTCTTTATTTTTCCTGTATAAACTAGGTCTTTATTTGTGCGGCTCTGCAGAAAACAAACAGATAATTTCATGAAAGCATAGGTGTCTTTTGAAATATCAAGTCAGCTGCTGAAGTGGCTACTTGTTAAATCTCCCAAAGCCAGCATTGACACAGTTCATTGAATTCTAAGAGCTTATTGAGGGAGAAGGGGCTGTTTGCAGAGCAGGTGAGATGAGAGAGGAGTGTGTTTACAGAGCTGATGAAGCACATTCTCTCTCTAGTGTTTGCCCTGAGTAGGTTCAATTGGGTAGAGTAATCCTACAAGGAGAACAGTTTGGTCAACTGAGCTTTAAAACGCAAATAAGGAAAAGTATTCAACAGTCCAGAAATTCAGGGAAAAAATATATTAAATGGAAGTCTTTTGATAGTGTGACCGATATTAATTTATCCATATTAACAGAGAGCCAAGGATTACATAAACCATGTCAAGATCTAAATAGTTGAGACCAGATGGAAGACTTGAACCTTGAATTTTTGTAGCATTTTATTCAATGCCATACACACATTTCTGTTTTCTAATATTGATTGATTTCAAAGTTGTTAATGGTAATAATGAGAGCTCATTTATTTAATGTTGTCTACATATTAGATCTTTAATGATTTTCATTCATTTAAAGTAATTGTTTTTATATATACCTTTACAAACTAAGGTATTACATTGTTATATTACTAATGGTTGGTTTGAGATCCATTAGATTCTCATACATTTTCTTTTTTATTATTATATAACCTGTACTTGAATACAGTGTATTTTTCTCTCCATTTTTACTAGTATTTTACATTATTTTAATTGCATAGATTAGCCTCTAACTTATTTTACTATAACAGCACCAATTTGGATTCCGGTTTTATATTTTGAAATTCTCATCAGCTGTTTTATTTATTATGACCTAAAAGAAGCTTAAACCATAGATTTGGGAATGATATTTCTAAAAGGCCAATTGTCAAGGCTGAAACTACACATGTGATTGTGTTTTTTTTTAATACATAATCTTTTTGAAAGTTGTTTGCTCATCTTAGATTTCATATCTCAACCTCTTTTTTCATAATAGTGATATCACTCTTTAAGATGTAAAACAAACCAAAATAGGAATAGTATAACATTCATAAACTTTCTTCTACCTTTTCTTCCTCTGTACATACCAAGATGTTGTCTTTTTGTTTCCGCCTAATTAATTGAATTTCTCACCCTATTTTCACATTTTGAACCAGTCCCTTTTACATTATTCACAATTTTTTGTGTGCTGCTTGGCAGTGTTTTTCTTAAACTCTTTCTTGTTGTATTTTTTTTTTTACTTCCTGATCCTTTGAGAGTTTTTTGTGTAGGTAGTCAAATTGTTCTTCTTACGTACTCTGTTGTTATTTTTTTAACAAAAAGATTTCTTTAGATTTTAATATTATTTCCTGATCTCTGACACTTTAATCATTGTATTTATTAATAGCAAATAATTTTTTATAGAAAAGCATCTCTTTTCTGAAAGCCATTTCAGCAAGATTAAATGTTGATACTTAGTTTCCTGAATGGAAAAAAAATGCACATCTATGAAAAATGCCAGATGTGCTTAGTTTTCTCCATTTGTCCTGGATTCTCTGACTAGCTTATCACAACCCGTAGAAAATGAAATTTTGTTTACCTCTCTACATTTGTTCATCCAAGAGTAAGACTTCCCTAAATTTTAAACCCCTTTCACCATAATATAAGGCACACTGCATAAATTTTAAAATGTGAATTTTAATTACACATGCTGATAATACTTTGGAGAAAAGCTAAATCCTCAAGTACTTGCATAAAGACATAAAGCAGATTTTCCGACTCTGCAATTAATGTTTATTAGCCTAATCTGATTATTTTGAGACTTAACACATCAGGGAAACCATCATTATTTCAAAATATTGTTCCTCTGGGAAATATACACTTTTTGTGTATGAAGTTTCCGTTAAATGTTTTTGGCATTTTTGTCAGGTTATGGAACCTACTTTTCTAAATTTTTGTAATTCTAAGATGAAGTATTGAAAGTTCATTGGCAAAGAAAAGCCCCGAACTCTTAAGTCAATCCTCAGTATTACAGTGTATTCCTCCAGTTCACTTCGCAACTTTCATTATTTCAACACAATTTCCTTACCTCTTTTAATAATTATTTTCTCAATGTGATGTAATTTCCTTTGTGTCTGATTTGGCATATGTCCCCTAATGTAAAAGAGGATAAAATAAACTGTATCATTGGCCACTAAGAAATGATCAGGAAGTCTGAGTGGTGAAGTGTAATTGATAATTGGAACCTAATTCCATATAGAGTGTCTGTGGCATAAATGGTCCTATCTAGCCACTGGCTGTATTTTTGATATGAAATCTGCTCGATAGCCCCAGAAATCACGTGGGCTGTCTGCTATTGATCATGGCTATCAGCCACTAAGGCATTAATAACTGCTATTTTCATCGTATGTGTCAACCAAACCTTGGATGTCAAATATATTTTGAGAACTAGATAAAAATAATGACATGAAAGGATCTAAAAAGAATCCAAGAAGGAAACAGAAAATTGAAATTCAATTTGAAAATAGTCAAACTGATTTTAGTAACTAGTGTAAAATCTTCTCAAAACAATTTAGACACATTGAAAAGATGCAAATACTTTCGGAAAAGCTAAGTCAGCTCCTTATTTTGTCTGCCTTGCAGTTGGGTTGGTTTTTGCCTCATTCTCCCTTCACCAAATGTGTTTGTTCCTGTGACAGCTTCACTTGAAAAAGAGGCATAGAAAAATCTTTCAGGACTTACTTTACAGCAACTAGAGCAGTCCTGCATTGAATGTTCTGGTGCTAATTGTGGAGACATGAACCCCACCACTCCCCACCTCCACCCGCATACATACACTCTCTCTCACTTCTTCTTATTTTCTCTGATTCAGGAAGATTAACTACATTACTAAATTCGTTTTACACCCTTCATAAAGTTAACGTAACATTACCTGAACACATTCTGAATGTTGTCAACTTGAACACCGAAGAGCTAACTTCCCATGCCTCCTGAGAAAATATTCATTATATTTCTTCAGAGTTTTACTTCTGCACAAAGTTTACATTGCAGCTGAGCACACCTTCCCTTGGATGTAGGTAACAGAACACACAACAGATGCATTCCCCCCATACCTGAAAGGTTTGTCTCTGAGGCATGCTCATTATCGTTTGATTGGATAACACTGACTGTATTGTTTTAAATTTGATGGATTAATTTTGTTTATTCTTTCGAACCCCTATTTTTTTATGTGTGTAACTTCCCCCGCCCCTGCCTAGACCTGGTTAACCGTTTCTGTGAGCAGGTCCTCAATTTTTTACTTTGTCCCTACTTTCCTGTCGTAGCCCCATCTTCCCCTGGTGTCGACTCCGTCCCCTTGCAGCGCACAGGCAGCCAGCATGGCCCGCAGAATGCCGCCGCGGCCACCTTCCAGAGGGCCAGCTATGCCGCAGGCCCAGCCTCCAATTACGCGGACCCCTACCGACAGCTGCAATATTGTCCCTCTGTTGAGTCTCCGTACAGCAAATCCGGCCCTGCTCTCCCGCCCGAAGGCACCTTGGCCAGGTCCCCGTCCATTGATAGCATTCAGAAAGATCCCAGGTGGGTAAAAAGCTTTTTCTTTCCCTATAATGTCTAAAGCGGTTTTGTAACCGGGTACTGCAATTTCTTTCATGTCGTGTTGCATTTCTGTCCTTGGATATAAGGGGTTGGCTTTCCTTGGGTTGTATATTCTTTTGTTTGACTTGGAATGTGGGTATTTGCAATGGATCCCTAGTGTCTTCCGTGGTTCACCACCAAAAACTAAAGAGGTTCTTTTGATCAGAGTGTCTGTAGGTGCTTGACATTTAACTCTTTGATAAGATGTAGACTGGCCTCTTTAATGCAGAGGAAACTGGAGGCTGGAGGTGATGTCATTTGACCTCAAATATCACGACCTAAATATTTTATTGTCTCAGTGGAAGTATGCTTCATCATCATATGCATTACTTACTTACTTATTTATTTATTTATTTATTTATTTATTTATTTATTGAGATGGAGTCTTGCTGTGTCCCCCAGGCTGGAGTGCAGTGGGCAATCGGCTCACTGCAACCTTCGCCTCCCGGATTCAAGCGATTCTCCTGCCTTAGCCTCCCAAGTAGCTGGGATTACAGGCATACACTGCCACACCTGGCTAATTTTTTGCATTTTAGTAGAGACAGGTTTCACCTTCTTGCTCAGGCTGGCCTGGAACTCCTGAGCTCAGGCAATCTGCCCACCTCAGCCTCTCAAAGTTCTAGGATTACAGGTGTGAGCCACCATGCCCTGCTATGCATTTCTATCTATCATATTGCAAAGGGGCGCACCTTCCACTTTAAGGTAAAATTGAAAATTTGGAAATTTTATACAACCTTCATTTATCTATGTCTGGAAATAAACATTACAGTGAATTTGTTTAAAGACTGATAAAATCTTGAACATAATATATTAAAGAAATTGTTATGGAGGTTTTGTTTTTGTTGCAGTTGTTGGTATTTTGTGGTTTGGTTTTTTTGTTTGTTTGTTTGTTTCCTTTTTTCCATCAGTGGCAAGGGGGTTTAGCACTGCTCTGCTTCTAAAGTTGGATTTGAGTCCCTGTAGAGTTAAGTGATGCTTTATGTTTTATTCATAGCCGTTGGATTTATGCTGATAGAGCCCATAAATATATATCTGCACCTGTGAATACTATTGATATGTCAGATTGCTGGTATTTCTTTATGGTAGGGCAGGTGGCTTGACTCTGGTATTGTACTTAAAATTCATCTCAAAGATTTTTCACTGATGGAGCACGCAAGTTCCTATGTACTGTATTGAGGGGTTGGCATAGCTTCTTTTGCAAAAAGAAATCATTTCTGCAAATATAAAAGGCAGAATGGGATCATTTTATGGTTTTCTTTGAGATAGCTACTTTAGCACAGTTCAAACCTGCTTGGAGGGTCCATGTTAAAGATTGTATTTGGTATAACACCATTGTAAAAGTGAATTGTAGTAAGTGTTTACTGTTATCTACCAGAAATCAGAAGCATTCTTATGTTTACTATGTTCAGTGTCCTGGTTATCAAGATTTTCAGTCCCAACAGCACACTTCATAGTCTTGGTCCTGAAAGCTGCCCCAGATTCTTAAGTATTCTTGGCGTGTATGGCAAGTGTATTCATCAGAAAATACCTCAACATATTCTCTATTTTTAAATAATCTTTCTTGATGTGCTACTGAAAATGTACAGAAATGGAATAATAGTGAACCCTTAAGAAATGCTCAAAGACAAAAATATGTAATTGAATTGACGTTTATATTTAACATTGTAGGTTTAAATTGACAATAAACATTTTCACTCCAATGAAAATACTTTAAATTTTCCTATTAGGGAATTTAGCTTAATAAGAAACCAAATTATATTTCTGTAGCTGGAGCCTAGCTTCCGTATTTTATACTGTGTATTAAATGCATTTTATTTTATTAAATGGCATATCATTTGCATTTTATATTACTGTCATTTTTACAGCCTTTTTTCTTCTCTCAATATATTGACATAGCTCTTATTGTGTCACTTATATTTATTGAGTGCCTACTATAAACCAAAAAATAAAAACACCAATAAGCAGGATTAGAATGAATAAGAGAATATTGACCACTAAGCTTTTGTATGTATCAAATTTGTATGCAAATTAATGCTATATGAATTACAAGTTCACCGTTAATTTCAAGGATACTAGATATTGGCATCATGCAAAGTGTATGGAGCATAAACTATAGTAATGCCTTTCTTGTCAGGTTATCTTAAAATGAAGGAATATCTCAACATGTTTTTATTTAATGGAGAGACATGCTAAATTTAAAATTCAGTCCAGAATATAGGACCTCTTTTAAAACAGGATTTTTGCATTTTTCTTTAAATATTATATTTTGATTCCTTGTAGGTGCATATTACCAGAACTAATATATTTACCTTCTAGAGCTCACAATTATTTATCTTGGCATTATGGCCTATGATGTAAACCTTTTCCATATGTTCAAGCTTTTTAAATATATATACATATATTTAGGAGAATTTGTTAACATTTTATTTAACATTAAACACTAGACTGTGTAAGCCTCTTTATCATTATAAACATAGGTTTATAGCACATTACAATCTTAAAAGTAGGCTTACCTACATCTTTTATATAATCCTTTGTGAGCAGAAACTGATATTCCATATTTAATGCCTTAAATAAATGCAGAATCTGAATGTTAAATGACTTCTTGAAAATGCATTGCTGCCAGGTGAGTACACGGGCTTATGTCTACATTGTTAGGACATGTTGAATCCATACTGCGGCACATGTTGGCATGAACATTTTTATTTCTTTACAAAAAATAAGAAGGAAAAACAGTATATTTATGATTTTTTGCAGAGGATGAATGGTAGTACCGGTATGTGTGTAGGAGTTGAGAAGAATGAAGGAAATTGTCCAACTAGCTCTGGCATCCCTGATCATTGCTTATTGGATGTGTGGTCTTTGTTGCATTTTTTATTTCTTACTTCTTTACTTCTTCAATAAAAAAATAAGCATCTACCTTATTTTTTTATTGTAGACCACTATCTCTTCTCTGTTAAAGAGTTTTAGTATTATTCATTGTGAAGTGTTTAAGCAAATACAGCATTTTAAAATAATAACATGAAGTCATGACAGTTCTACTTGAAACCAGAGAAGCCATGTTGGTTTTCTGTCACTCTGAGTCATAGGATACAAAAGGAATGGTTCTGAGGGCTTGGGATCTTCCTGTGGATGGTTGACTCAGTCATTTAGATTGTGCAAAGCTTTGGTCTTTTCTCTTTTGACTAATCATCTGATGCTCCAACAAAAACTATCTTATTTAACATAAATCCTCTATCCAATTTTATTTGTAAAGCCAGCAGTCACTGAGAAAATAATTTTTAAACATATAAAATTCACATCACAGCTTTATTTGCTAAGAAAATTTTATTTTGTAATCATATGTTATTTTCCATAAAATGTGAATCTCTTAAGGATTGTTACCATAGCTAATATATTTGTGGGTACTGCACCAAATATTGAGTTCTATAAACTGTTGTTTTTAAACATGAAAGTTAAATATAACTCTTAAATTATCTGAAAGAGGTATCAGTCACATTGGTAGTGATAAGTCACAAAAGCATTCTTATTTTGAAAATTTGATTGATGAAACAAATGGGAAAAAACACAGCAAGACTGATATACCCAGATATACTAAAGGTATTATAAATGTCTATCAAATAACAAAAGTCATGGTTAAGACATCTTATTGACATAATGCATAAATTGTAGCAGTAATCGCAACTATTAATCCTGTTTGATTAATATCTTATTGAGATGTTGTAATCCTTTGTGTATACTCTCTCAATAGCAATTTTTCAAACATGCTAAAAAAAATCTCCCTTTTTATGAGTGTGATTCACAATAGAACACTATCTTCTATTTTGTTATTCATCATAACAGGAAAATACATACAATGGCACATTTTTTAATGCTGATTTTGGGCCCAAATTAGCAGCTGCACTTTCAATCAGCTCTATCAAACTCACTCCATGGAGGTGTTTCATTTTAAACCACAATATTTGACGAATAGTGTGAAAATATGCACTTTTAAGGAATTATTTATATATTTCAACTAATTTTATATGCTATTTTGAAGTAACTTTTGAAAAAAACTTTATTTTTTTAGAGAAGGGTTCTTGCTATGCTGCCCAGGCTGGTCTTGAACTCCTGGGCTCAAGTGATCCTCCTGCCTTGGCCTCCCGTAGGGTTGGGATGACAAGCATGAGCTGCAGTGTCTGGCATAAAAATGCTTTTAAAAAGATGAAGACTTGAAGAATATTTATAAGATATTAAAGTGTAAACAGTGTTATGTAACTTGAGTTACCATGTAACTCAAAGAACGTGGCTGAAATGTTTGTATTAAACTACATACCATATTTTTCAGAGTCTAGTTCTCTCAGATGATGAATCTCTGGGTAGTTTGCTTTTAACTTCAAATGCTCAATAATTATTTATTTAACTGAGGAAATGTCCAAGAGAAAAAATACTGGATTCACAATTTAAAGACTTTTAGAATTTGAAGAGTACTGGAGATTGTTTATCAGTTAAGCTAATAGCAATTCCAATACCTTGTCTTTCAGCCCCTGCTTAGATGCTTCAAGCAAGGTAGCAACAGGCCCCTCACCATCTCTTAAAACATTTTATTTATTTTTTTGAATCATCCAAGGCTTATACACTAGTTTGTTTTGATACAGAAATATGCGTCTTTTGAAATCTTGTTTCTGACCTGCGAAATCATATGAGAATACACCAATCCCTTTTTCAAAGACGCCTTGGGAGACAGTTCCTACACCGTGCTCCCACGCCCAAGGCTCCTGCTGCTGTGCTAGCTGCCATTGTCCCAAGAGCTGTCACTTCTGGGCTCAACAGTGGCTGATGTCCCTCCAAATTGTGCTTCACACATCACCAGCAAGCGTAGAGAGAAAACAAGTATTACCTTGGGCAAACCTGGGATCACTACTGGTTTTCTTGACAGTAAGATGACAACCTTTATAACAGTG